ATTGGTGCTTACAACCTGCATTTGTGTCCATCCAGGCTCCTCCCGGCTGAGAATGATTTAGCATCACACTGGTCACCTCTGAGAACCCAGCAGGGAGGCGGTGCGGAGGGGAGGGGAACTTTACATTTTCTGCTATGCACTACTACATACTCTTTGAATGGGAGTGTGGGGCTTAAGAGTGTAATATATTCATGTATCATCTCTATCATTTTTTTTAAAGCAATTGAACTGGTTAAAAACCACCACCACCACCAAACCAGGGTTGTTGTTCTGCTGTGAAATTATGACACCAACCTGAACAAGTTTGGTGCCCACTTCCAGGTCTTCCCAAGAGTGACTGATAAAGTTCAAGTCCAATTTCTAAGCCACTGGTGAGAGGCAGGATTGGAATCAACAGGGAAGAAGGGAGATGTGAGATGTAAGGAACCCTTTTGGAAAAGCTCTGTGCAAGCGGCAAAGCCTGTCCTACCCTGAACCTGCACAGCTCCAAACTCACTGTCCTGGGACTTTCTGCCTCCCCCCCCCGCCCCCCCCCCCACCCCCCATCATTGGAGCTTGAGAAGAACGAGATGAAAATAGCTGAATCCTGAGGATTTCCGGATTAAAAAAAAAAGGCCTTTCCCACACCAGGAGAAAAGCCCCCCCCCGAGCATCGTCCAACAAAGGCAAAAAAAAAGCCTGGCCAACCTCTCACACCCGGACAGAGGGCGGCGGCCCCGGCCCCCCCGATTATGGGCGCCGTCACGAGCGGCTGCTCCCGGGGCCACCGCTTGGAGTCCCGGCCACCTAGGCCCACAGCCCCGAGAGCTTTTTCCTCCCGCTGCGAGCATCCTAATCTGGGACTCTCGAATGGCTCTGCCAACAACACAGCAACAATATTTGCACAAGGGAAAACTAAAGCAATGGCATCCTGGCGAAATATGTAACTATTCTTTCTGCTTGCCAGTAGAAGCACTTATGTGGACTCAAATATTTAATTAGTATCTTTTTTGTTTCCCAGTAATAATTAAAACACACACACACACACACACACACACACACACACACACAGAGCTAACATGAAGCAAAAAGAAAAAAGAAAAAGAAAAACCAAGGGGCTTTGCTTAGGACATAATATTTAAGAGGCAGGCAAGACAGCTAACATGGCCAGGCAAAAATGCTCCTCCCCTTACAACAGGTACCCTGTTAGCACCAGCCAAACTCACTGGGCACTTTCACAGTCTGCAGATGGGGGGGGAGGGAGGGGCGGGCGCTGCCAAGAGGTGCCCTTCAGACAAGGAAAAGAGGTCAAATCTTGGAGGGAAAGGGGTACCATCCAGCAAAGGTAGGGGAGCTGACCCTTCTGCAGTGACTCACCGCAGAGACAGCTGATGACTGTGATGCCAGGAAGCAGGCAGTGCAATAAAGGTAACCCTGGGAATAAAGGTAACCTTCCTCCCAAAGACCATGCAGCCCCAAAAAAGCCGAAACCTGAGCAAATGGCCCAAGCCAAGCAAGAACTCTCTGAAGGGCACACGTGTTATGCCTTTGGGAAAACAGAAGCCCACGCAAGTTTGTTACGAAGTCTGGCACTGACTCGAGGAGAGGGCACGAGACTAGCACATTACTGACATGGCCACCGGACATCCTGATGGGGACGCACGGACATTAGCCACCAGGACTCATCATCTCTCCTTGCTCTGAATCCGGTTCACCCTAGTACGGCCTGGCTCCCCACTGAGGCTGCACCCTTCAGGGGAGGGTGGTCCCACCTCCTCCTCAAAGGGCTGGTCACCTCTGTGAACTCACCCAACACTCCTCCCTTTCCCAGCCAGCCCCCGCAGGCAGTCAACTCTTGAGGAACAGGCAAAACTGCAGATCTCACCCCCTAGTGGACAGACTAGGGTCCACCAGGGAACAGTGGGATTTAGACTACACCCCAGGAAGTTTCCTTCCTTGGGGGTGTTTTCCCTTCAATGCTATCGCTTCGTTTGAATGCTCAAACCAGCATTTCCTCACTGGGGCCTAAGGAACCTGTAAGGCAGAAATGACAAGGCCAGGGGGTGGGCACAGAGAGGGGAAGGCGCTCTCCGGTCTTACTCAGGCACCTGCTCCCCCTGACACAGGAAACCAAAGGAGGCGACTTTGGTTTCTGCTGAGGTTGCTTTCAGTCCACACCATTAGCATCTGCAATTCCGGGGGATAGAGGGACACTAAGCACTGTCCATTCTGACACATCCCGCTTTCTCCATCGCCACTGCCGCTGTCGTAATGTCTTAATGTCATCATCTCTCATGCCAATTACTCTCACGGACTCCTTTCTCCTAATTTCACAGTCTACACAGCCCACGAGCCAGCTTTCTCAAATACAGACCGGACCCTCTCTCCCTTCCTGAAAACCCCCGCCTACAGGACAGAGTGCAACCCTGGGGGGACGTGCCAGGCCTCTGCCTGCACGGGTTTTGGAGTCACACCGATCTCAGCTGGCACTCAGACTAACCGCTGGCTGGCTCTGTGGGCACACATGCGTCTCTACGCCCATTTCCCCCTCTGTGCACTGGGAATGACACGATCTACCTCCAGAGTCGCTGTGAGGATTAAACCCAAGTTGTAGAGAGCCCAGCTCTCCGAGGACACCACTCTGCCTACCCCCACCCCCTGCACCTGGCTCTGGATCTGTGCTCTTCACCACCCGCACGCACGGCTGCTTCACGGTGAGTGAATATGAATTACTCAAGAGAAAAGAAGGCACTTTGAGATCTAAAAATTAGGGTCATTCATAAACATAAAAATTAGGCTTCCAAGATGTGAAAGAAGCCAAAATTAACTCATTATCAAAATAATGCAAGAGGAGAATGGGCATGGGGGGAGGAGAGCATGACTCTGGGAGGAAATGCTTTTAAAACATAGAGCTCTGTGATTTTTGTTTGGACTCCCTTTGTTCCAAAGATTTAGGAAGCTTACATTTTTTTTCAAACGCTCACAAAGAACACATTTCTATTTTTTTAAACGATTTCTTAATTAATATCTTCAGAGGACTAAGGAGTATTCTTAAAGACTGACTGAATCTTAATAAAATTCTCAGAGATATTCTGGCATCAGTCACAACAAACACCCTCTTGGAACTTAATTTCCTTTTCAGCATTCCACTTGCTATGGAAACTCATTTATGATGCCACCACAAGTCAAAATCTGCCTGAAGCATGAAAACTTCAAGGCCCCACAAGAGAGACTTATAGGGCTAGGTGGAACTTGGCCCGTTTATTGAGCCAAATCTTACATCTATCAGATCTCTCCCAGGCCAAACTTTCCAGTTCTTATGTCAGGTTCAACTCTCCCATCTCCTTCCCAGCCCTTAACTGCCCTGCACCCCGCCCCAACCTTATGCTATAGCTCTTCCAATATCTCCACTCCAGTTAGAAACACCCCACATTCAGTATCTTTTCCCTGCCCATAAAACGAATAAAAAAGGAGAGAAGGGCACAAAAATGGGCAAAGGGAAACTAGCTACATCCATCTTCACCTTCCTATCAAAGACCCTAAGCCAGAATGAAAAAGATGACAGAAGGGTGGCTTCTGATTTGGGTCAGTGCCCTCCTTTTTAGATGATGGCAGGGCCTGCAACAGTCACTCTGTGTGTTGGGGGTTGGAGTGGGAAGGCGAAGGCGGGAAGAATTATTCATAAGCACAAGAGTGTATTTTAAAAGCCTTTTTCCCTTGAGGACAATTCCTACTGGAAGACTTAATCAATGCCATTATCCAGAGTGCCTGTGGGCAATGGGAGAGAAAGGGGTGGACGCCACCCTTTACTGAGCACCCACTGCAATTTGTAGGGATCTCTCATGTAATATAAGGCAGACAATAACCTGACTTTACATATGCAGACACCAGGCTCAGGGGGGGCAGGTGATGGGATCAGGATGTGTACCCAGGCCCACCAGACACCAAGACCCTTGGACTCCTAAGCTTCCAGTGTCCCCACATGCTTCTTATGTTAACACACGGTCCTGGGTTGGAGGGCACGTCACAGTTTGCATGTTGTTTCCCATATACACTGCCTCATATAATATTACAACCCCGTAGGATAGCTAAGAATTCCTTGTTCATTATATTATAAAAGGCTGTTTAGTTTCAAAGATCGACAGTAACTTGTGTGAGCCAGCTGTAAGAGCTGTGCCCTTTTGAACTCTTTTTTTCTCACCTCACACTGTCTGATAAATGGTAGGGGCTCAAATGGTAACTATTATTAGCATCATGACATTTATTAATTTAACAGCCCTTAAAGCAAATTTTAAACACACACACACACACACACATATATACTAGTGTGTGTGTGTGTGTGTGTGTGTGTATGTGTGTGTATATATATATATATATATATATATATATATATAACATATTTTAAAGATTCACCCTAATTAATCAAACCTTTACTTGTTGGAGAGAATTTATATATATATATATATATACATATACATATATATGTGTATATATATATATAACATATTTTAAAGATTCACCCTAATTAATCAAACCTTTACTTGTTGGAGAGAATATAATTTTACCACTACCTCAAACTCTGAGATAACCACTAACTGCAGCGTCCAAGAAACTGATGAAAAAGGATTACTGAAAAGATGTGCTCAAATCCAATATGGATTCTGAAAGCTACTAATGGGAGAAAACAGAAGGACAGGCGCATTCAGTTGTAAAACACAAAAATTCCTCCTCTCCTTCCAGCATCATGGCTTGATCATTAATGTGCTGTTTGACTGGTCCATGTCATTTCAACTCTGTGATGACCCTTAGTATCCAAATCTGGATGGTCAGCAGGTGACCCGGAAGTTCTAGTGAGAGGCTGCCCAGAAGGTCTGGGAATAGGGGTGGGGTGGGCAGTTATTACCTTAAGCTATTTTTAACGTCCTGCATCTAGTGCACTGTTTGCCTATTAATTACACTCACTGTAAAAGAAACCTGAGAAATTCAGAAAGGTTATTTATATGCAACAGGAATCAGCTCACCACTTTTTAAGCCAGAATGAAAAAGATGACAGAAGTCGCAGTACTAGGATCCCAGCATCAGACAGACAGAAGGAAATCTATAGTACTATGGCAATGAGATATCCTGGGGATGTTCTTCAAGTAAGGCTGCAACTGAGCATCCACTCCAGGCTTGACGGCTCAAACAAACAAACACAAAAATTCAAATCCACAAGTGAAATACACATATTATTTTTCAGCAAACAACTTTACAGTAAAGACATCTCGACAGCCATGTACACAAAGTGCCTGCATGAGAACAGTAGTCATACTGTAAGTCTAGTACCAACTGTTATTCGTTTTTGGTTTTGTCTTGCTTTTGGCAATATTGCTTCTCACCTGTTTCAAGTCCATCCTAATTTCTTTATAGGAAATTGATTTTGTGTGACTAATCTAGTCTCACAAGGAAAAAGATCTGTCTCCCTCAGAAACCTACTCCTACCACTATCAGATTGTATAGTTCTCTTTCTTTATACCCCATTTCACAGATAAGGAAAACTGAGGCCCAGAGAGGACAGGTGACTCATTCAAGGTCACATACCCTGCTCATATATCTAGGACTAGAACTAGAGCTCAAAACGCCCACAGTGTGGGGCTCCAGCTCTATCGCTGTTGCTAATGACCTCGCATCCTTGTGTCTTGAATTTCTTCTGGGGAAGAAAAAATTAAGCCAGCATGAGTCATCGCCATTGTCGAGGGCCACCTCACAGGTTGTTCTAATTAAGCATCCAGCATCTCCAGAACCACTTGATTCTCAAATAACCAACCTCAGCAAAGAGGAAAAGGCCATGTTTTATACTCCCTTCAGGATACTCGGGACCCTGTGAGCAGATGTGCTGCTCCGTTTGGGGGACCGGCTAGCCCAAACCCGGGGAGTCAGACCTTGGCGGTACTGGAGAGGGAATGAGGGGGCGGTGGGAGGAGTCAGACAGCTTCCGGCTCGTTAGGATTTCATGGAGCCCACTCCTCCTGCTCACCTTGGAACCCCTAACTATCTCACCCACTCAGGGGTCCCTCCTCAACTTCCCCAGGACAAAAGCACTGCAGTCTGGGAGGTGCATGTGGCAGATGGGGAGGGGCGGCACTCAACCCGAGCGGTGGAGGAAGCAATTCTCAGCTCCCTCCCCCACCTCGTACAGGAACTCCCCTTCGGGGCTTCAGACGCCAGAGGCGTCCCCAACTCTCAGCCTGACCCGAAACAGGCAGGGAGGAGGCGCGACCCTCTCCCCAGCGTTCTGCCCCACGGCCGGCTGGTCCCCCGACCCCCAGGGTCCGTCCCCGTGGCGCCTCCCTCCCTCTCACCGCAGAGCCCCCGGCCAGACACTCGTCCACAAACGCCCGAGACTCTGAGCGCACGCAACCCTTTCTCCCCGCCTACAGGACCCGCGCCTCCGCCTTCCCAAACCCCGCGCTCCCGGCCGCCCCGCCTCTGGCCCGGGACCCCCCCACCTCGTCTCACCGCGTCCTCCCGACACCCCAGTCCGCCGGCACCCGCACTTCCCGTCCGGCCCACGCAGCCTCGCCGGGCGCCCCAACTTTTTCCCGGCCGGGGCCCGGGCGCCGCAGCGGCAGGGATTCCGCGCCCGGAGCCGCAACAGCCGGGAGGGCGCGCGTCTCCTTGGCCCCTGCCCGCCCGGCGCGCACGAGTTGCGCTCGGGACCCGCTCGGCTTTCGGGCCTCGGCGGTCAGCCCGGGCGGCGGGGCCGGCGTGGCGGGAACCGCGCTGTCCTGGCGCCCGCACTCCCGTCCAGCGCCGGGTCCCCGCGCCCGCCCCGCCGCCGCGCTCCGCTCACCTCCTCCAGCGCCGCCGCCGCCACTGCCGGGAAGACGTGGCAGTGGCCGCCGCCGCCGCGCGCCTCGCCTCGCCTCTCCTCTCCTCTCCGCGCCCGCGCTCCTGCCTCCGGAGCGCCGGACCGCAGCGCCAGGCGCCCTCTGCCGCCGGGAAGCCGCATCTTCTCGCCCTAACCCTAACTCCCCGCCGCCCTCGCCGGGGCCTCCGCCCCCGCCGCCGAGCCTTCCCTTCCCTCGTCAGCCCGGCTCTCGGGCCTGGCACCAGCTCTCCATTCCCTACCGGAGCCGCGGGACCTGGGAGATCGTCCCGCGCGCCCGGCCCCGGGCTCGCCGCTGGCTGCCTCCGGGGGGCCCTGCCCCGACCACCGTGCTGCTCAGCGCCTCCTCCCCTGGCTCCCGCGCTGCCGGGGCCGAAGTCATCCCCGGGTTGATCCGTTCAGTTTCTGCTTCTCTGAAAGCCTCGCCCACGAGACAGTAAAATCGGGAGCGGGTGATGGTTAGAGGAGCACACATGCCTCTCGTGTTCACCATTCTCTATCCTGGGGCCAAGGCAGCGCCCTGCCAGGAATACCCACGTGCGCCATAAATACATATTGAGGGAGCAAGAGAGGGAATCGATGAGTGAGATTTTTGCCTCTTAAACCTCAAGCTATCCTGACCTGGATCTGCTTTTTGTAAAACACACACACACACACACACACACACACACACACACACGTGCGCGGCTTTGCATGAATAAATGGGATTCACAATTCCCCACCTCAGACCAGCAGCAAAGCCACAAGAGGCACAGGGTTAAATGTTATCCAGGACTTTTAGTCAAAAAGACGGGTTTTAGATCTGCTACTTAAAAGCCGAAAATCTCCGGAAAGCTGATCTCCTGGGTACCGTACCTCATCTGTACATGAAGACTAATAAAATCTACTTCAGCCCTGGCTGGTGTTTCTCAGTGGTTAGAGCGTGCTTCCCTCCCTTCCCGAACACACCTAAGGGTTGCGGGTTGGTTCCAGTCAAGGGAACATACCTTGGTTGAAGTTTGGGGCAGGTGCAGGAGGCAACCAATGATGTGTCTCTCTCACATCAATGATTCTCCCCCATCTCTCTCTCTCTCTCTCTCTCTCTCTCTCTCTCTCTCTCTCTCTCTCTCTCCTCCCTCTCCCTTTCTCTCCCTCCCTTCCTCCCTCCCTTCCACTCTCTCTAAAAAAAAAAAAATCAATGGAAAATGGGAGGATTAACAAGCAAATAAAATCTTCTTAGGGTTGTTGGAAGGATTAATTGAGATCAAGCATTGTATGTAAAGTGCTTTACACACATACATACACACACATATACCATATAGTAACTAAAAGGTAGCTATTGTTAGCATATTACTGACCTCGTAGGCAGTAAGAACTATAGACAAATGTGTAAAATAATGGCCACCTCCCTTTTCAGCTGGAGACAACTGTCATGCCCTGGTTTGTGTGGTTTTGTCACTTGACCAACAGGGCCAGCCCCCAAGCAAGGCCTCTCCAGTTCCTCCTCTCCCCACCCCCAAGAAGGATCTGGTCTCGTGTTCCTAAGAGCTGTAGAACTGGCTCTTCTGCAGGTTTTCCTCCTGCGTTTCGGTGGCCCATCTCTCAGTGAACAAGTGTTTATTTTATTGCAAAGGCAGTGAAGGGTTCGGGGCCCCTGCAGGCTACTGCCTCTTACTGTTTTTCTTCTTGCCTTTCTCTCAACACCTTGAGGCCACCTCTTCGCTTCTGAGGGCCTCCTTCCTGCTCCACAGGTGAGGCAGCAGTGACGTGGCATCAGGTGGGACTCGGCTGGACTCCCAGCGCATCCACCTTGGGCTTCCGGCACCTCAGGCCCCTCGTTTGGACGCTGGTGCATAATATTTACTAGTACCTGTGGCATTGAGAGAGAATTGGTGACCCAGTCGGTGAGCAAAGTCCCTGGAGCATATATGTGTTTAAGAAAAGGCAACTACTGATTAGTTTGCAAACATTTAGGGCACATCTCCTGAGTGTTGTGGGTGCTGTGACAGTGAAGGGAACAAACCTGGGTGAGGTAAGACTTCCACCCTCAAAGGACTTTGCTGTCTAGCGGAGGAGACAGGCGTGCACATACTAGGGCAGAGAGACTGGGGCGGGGGGGCGGGTACGGATGCTGCTAAATGTGAATCCAGCAAATTGGGGCAGTATTGCAGTGTGAATTGCTTTCGTTCATTATAATTGTAAATGCCATTTTCCTCTAAATCGTATGTACATAACTTCCCAAGGCCACTGCTAAAAATTAATGAATAATTTTACGAGGCAAGCAGGGCCATTTGATGTAGGATTCCGTCCCCTTAATAAGGTGACTTCAAAAGCTTCCTTATCCTAGTTGTAACGTGTCTATTGTGTCTTTGGGGAAGCACTATCATTTGTAAGTTAAAGTTGCATATCTTGCAATCCATGTCTAAGAGGGAAAGTTCAAACACTGTTACACTAATGGCCTCGAAAGAATCATACCACAGTATACATGCCTTTAGTGTCGCCCCCTCCCATCATGACCCTGTGCTTGGCCATGTGACATGCTTTGGCCACTGGGACATCAGCAAATACAGCAAAAGCAGGGACAGTGGATAGGCACGCGTGCAGTCCTCCTTGCTCTCTTGGAATGCTGCAGGGACAGTAAGGAAACTTGGTCCAACCTCCTCGAAGATGAAAGACCCAGGCAGAGAGAGGCTTGCCATCCCAGCTGCAGCAGCCCCCAGCCGACCCCCAGCCCACATGAGTGAGCCCAAGCAGGACCAGCCAAAAAAGACCCACCCAACCCAAGAATTGTGAGAAATAACGTGGTTGTTTCAAGCCATAAGGGTTGGGTGGTTTGTTGTACAGCAACAGGTAACTGATACATCAGACAAAGGCGTTGTGGCAGTTGCAAGGTTTTGGTGAAATTCACCCCCAAGAGTCAATACACTCCTTAGTGTTTCCTGTCAAGAAGCATTCGATTGTCCTAACCGGTTTGGCTCAGTGGATAGAGCATCAGCCTTCGGACTAAAGGGTCCCGGGTTCGATTCCCGTCAAGGGCATGTACCTTGGTTGCAGGCACATCCCCAGTAGGGGGTGTGCAGGAGGAAGCTGATCGATGTTTCTCTCTCATCGATGTTTCTAACTCTCTATGTAAAATCAATAAAATATATTTAAAAAAAAAAAAGAAGCATTCGATTAAAGTCACCATGCCTCGGCTGAGCGGACTATTCCACTTTACGGGATGCCTTCTTTCAAAGGACGTCATTAAATTGGTTGCTGAGCCCAGCACTGTTTAAAATCCTATGGCAGCCAACATGACAATGAGCTGGCAAAATCAGCATGTCAGTGCTTTAAATATCATAAAGCACAACAGGCATTATAGAGGTTGGTTGTGTTTCTCTCTCCCATTTCTTCATGAGCTTCTTAATGATGGACATCTTGTCCAGTTGGACAAGGTTTCTCCGTAGATATGAAACATCAGATAAGGAAG